AAAATTGAAATCAGTGGCGGATGAAATACACTCGATATTATTGTACCTAATTGAATTAGATTAAGTGTTTCGGGTATATTTTCAGTTATTTTTCTTTTAAAAAACACTTAATCTTGAAGTTAAGTTACGATTACCACGAGGAAAAAATACTCGTGATAAAACCACTTCTCGAGAAAAAAGACTTGAGAGGAAACCAAATTCTCGAGGAAAAAAATTGGAAAGATACCAAATATGTAAAAAAAATTAAATTAAATAAAAGAACTCACCCTTACCGAACACGAGCATATCATGTCACTACAAACACGTCGTCAAAAACAATAGGTCAAAGAAACACAGATTACTCTAGTTCCTCTACTTCCTAATGAAATCAAAAACATTACCAAATTATCAAGGTACAAGATAGAAATTAAAAATTGGATACAACTAACTACTAGAGATAGGTACCTTAAATCTAAAATATTTAAAATTAAAATAACTCAAATATAGTTTAGTTCTGATAAAATAATAATATTGACACTTTAGCCTAATTTGAAATTTTTTATGTTAATGTCTTAATTAAAATGAAATAGTCACGTACAAGTATTACAATCTAATTGTTAACTTATCTATTTATTTAATAAATATTGAATTGATGTAACTCGTAATAATAGTGTGTCATATATTTTTCATTTTGTCATATATATCTATTATACTTATTGTATTGTATTGTATATTGTATTATATTAATGTTTTGAATAAACTTTTAATATTATTAATCTAATTTTAATTTAAGGAGGTCCTTTCGCCACCCCTTTCGCCACCAATGTTAAATGAAAATTATTAGATTATGACTAAAATTTATTTTTTTTCTAATAGTTGAAGTCCTTTTGAGAATTTTTTTTTAAAAATGTGAATATTTGTACAGTGTCTTACGAAAAAATAAGACCTCAACAACAATTCTCGAATTATATTATTATTTATTGATTAGATGGAGTAGAAAAAAACTAAAAATAAGGGCTTTTGAAATATTTAGGTTTTGTTTTTTACAATAAAATACATAGGTTACCTTGGAATTTATTGAGAAATTAATATTAAAAAAAAAATTGAAGTAACCTAGTTGAAAATTTTTTGTGATTTTTTAATATTAATTTCTCAATAAATTCCACGGTAACCTATATACTTTATTTTAAAAATCAAAACCTAAATATTTCAAAAACTTTATTTTTAGTTTTTTTCTATTCCATCTAATCAATAAATAATAGTAAAATTAATTATAATTCGAAAATTGTTGTTGAAGTCTTACTTTCTCGAAAGACACTGTACACACACATTTAAAAAAAAATTCTCAAAAATTTGCACGGTAAGGTATAGTTAAAAGTTCACTATTAGATAAATAAGGACTTCTACTATTAGAAAAAAATTAATTTTAGTCATAATCTAATATTTTTTATTTAACATTGGTGGCGAAAGGACCTCCTTAAGAGAGAGACATAAAAAACAGATAAAAAATTAAAACTAGGACTATCGAAAAGAGAATACAATTTTATACAATATAGAGTATTCTTAACATTGATTTAGAATGAAATGTGATTTTGATTTAAGGTATTATCACTGATTCACTGTATTATGTTTTTATTGTATACCTTTATTTTTTTTATTTTCTATCGCATAAAAGTAACAAATTCTCTGTTCAAACAATAAACCAACATTATACAACATCAATTTCTATAAAAAAGATCGTTCAGCCAGCCTACAATCTAGATTCATAAGATTTAAATATTTAGAAGTAATAATCAAATAGTGATATATAATCCAGAAGCTACAAAAAACACAGGTAAATATAAACACTATTTATTTCAAAATGTCAGTTAGATTACACATTAATTAAGTACATACCTAGTGGTTATATATACGAAATTTTATCAAAAATATAAAACTTATTATAGACAATTATACATATTTAAAAACTATAGTACTCTCTCCTTCATCTTTTATTATCTTTTTTAAGCCTCTTCATTTGAATTCGTTAGGAGTTGAGTATCGTCCATATTCTCTTGGTACTTGATACAATAATACGTCAAAATTATTCCACTTCTCAATACAACACATGACCACACAAGAGGGATAGTTGCACTCTCTGGTATTGGCATCATTGCTAAAAAAAATTATTGTATGGAGTGATCAAAAAAATCTTCCTAAAGTAGCTCTTGGCATGTTCTTTTTAAGTGTCGGTTTCTATTTAATTCAGAGCCGTGCGTAAGCTATCAATGACATAACTGGTATTTCTATTTTTGTTGGTCAAAGTCTACTTTTGAAATATATTTTGTAGGACTGTCGAGTAGGTATAACATTCAAATTAAAAATTGTTTAAAATTGTTTAAAATTGTTTAAAAACTGTTTAAAATTTTTTAAAATTGGTTAAAATTGTTTAACATTGATTAACATCGTTAAATTTTGTTTAAACTTATTTAACATTGTTTAAATCGTATAAAACCGTTTAATAGCTATCAACCAGTTGCGTAAGGAGCGGGACGAGCAGAGCGAGGTCCCCCAACGTGAACGAGTTACATAAAACGACATTTCGTAACGGGTTATATACAATATTTTTTTAATTTTGACTAGATTATTTATAAAATTGTGTTTTGGTAAAAAATTACTGAGATCTATATAAGCAACCAATATTACTACTTTTTGTATTGTTAGTTGCATATGTTTAACTTCATTCTTTTATTGGCAAATAGAAAATAATTTATTCTCGACGATTTTTTGTACTGTGTTTATATTAATTGCTTGTTAAAATTATTTAGATCTCAGAAAAGTGGATTATTTAGTCGTTTTAATTATTTTCTGATGATTTAGAATGTAAAATGAGAACCAAAACAACAATAATACTAGTTTATAAGTTTAACCAAACTCTATTTTTATATCAGTTTGTCCTTCTTTCATATAAACTTTCAATAGTAATGTATATTATCGATTTTAAAACCGGAAAAGGTTTATTTTTATTTGTTTTCTTTTCACAACTGGTAACATATTGATTTTTTTTTAGTAGAACATTTTGCACTAGCTGCGATTACAAAAAACGCCACTTTATATGTCAAAATTAGAAAAATAAAATTGTTAAAAATTATTTTTTCCCAATCCCGAAAAACCTTCCAAATTCGTTCGAATAAGTTACCCCACTTGACGGTAAAATTCAGAATAGTTTCATCCTCATAACTTACGTTTCTTTAGCATAATTTGGATAGTAGCAAAATAGCCAATACACAGAAGGCCTACGCTTCCAACTATTATGCCTATTCTGCAAAATCGTCTTAAATCTGTTCTATCATACCAAGCTAACAATTTGTTTTTGTAATCCAAATAATGCAGCAAAACTAATATTGCATCTGATGACCCTAGAAAAATAAAAAAAAAATAAAAAAAAATTCGCCCAACGTGGGGCTCGAACCCACGACCCTGAGATTAAGAGTCTCATGCTCTACCGACTGAGCTAGCCGGGCATATATCAAAAACGTTTTAAAAGTGTATTATCAAAGTAAAAGTGATTTTGAATACCTATTTTATATATAATTTTCTTCAAGAAACCTTATTAATTAATAAACTAAATACCTATAAGTACGTAAATATTTTATAACTTACCTGAAATAAATCCTAAAACACCTGCTGCATAGTTTTTCAAAATAATAAAGGCAATAAACGAAGAAATCCCCAAGAAACAACACACCGCAGAAAATATAATTCGCGTTACGCCCATTTTTTGTTATTTTAGAAGCTTTGCTCTTATTTAAAACACCATTTTACATATTACAATAATACCTATATCAATAAGTTTGCAATAGAAAAACAAAATTATCAAAAATCAAACAAATACAAAACCGGTGAAAAACACTAATCTTAAACAGAACCGGACCTAGGGGTTGCCATATTTAACAATACAATTTCTTGACAAACATAGGTTTGTTCTGGTTTTCAATATGAAAACTGTTTTGAAACTGCGCCGGACCGTGTGCGTAAAAGCACAAAATCCCCGACTGTTTGAAATTGTTGGAAAACCAGAACACACAAAGGTGTTTTGTAATATTAAAAAATTTATAATTATAAAATTGCCTCAATTTACAAATAAAACAAGAGCAAGAGACATTCGCATCCACACATAAATAAACAATTTGGGATTGTATACGTTCTGTATGGTCTTGAAAGCTAATATAATATTCATAACACTTCAAAAACGCATGTGCGGTCAAAACAGTCCGAGTCCATTCACAATCCGAAGCAAGAACACATTTTGACTGTTTACAACAATCACGGATTATTTCGAATACTGGGAGATCCGAAGTAGTCCGAGAAATCCAGCATTGGAATTCTCATCTTTCATTACGGCACTTGTTGAGACGTTCCACAGAATATGCGATTTGTATGTAATGTCTCTCTCTATTTGATTCGTTACGTATTGAGTACGCACTTAATAATCCTTGTCTTGACCGCTTTTTATATACTGCGCATGATCCCGACAGTTCTGGATCGTTATTTCTCAAAACTAGAACAGGAACAGAAGAAATAAAAATTCCGGAAATTTCTTTAAAAATCCGGACAAATTTTATCATTCATTTATAAGTGGTGAGAAGAAAGAAAACTCATTGTTGATAACAGAAACAAACATAAACATATAAACATCAAAAACGCAAGAATTTATGAATTTAGTGGTTTGTGGATCGCTGTAAGATCATTGTGAAAATAATATCAACAAACGGTTCGCGAACATTTCGGTTCGCAAAAATGTATACGCACTTTTAAACCGAGTAAAAATATGTTTTTATTTATAACTACAACTCTGTTCTTTGTAAACAGTTTTAGGAAAACCAAAACCTTCAAAACAGGTGTGTTGTGTTAGCCTCTCTTTTTATTGTAGTTCAGCTCACTCGCTCAATCAACAAAACTAAGCTGGAACGTCAATTGTCACTACAAACTGTCAATAGTGTCAATTGTCAAATTCTTAATTTTGTATTTTGGAAAATCATCGTGTGTTGTTTGTTCGCCTATTTGTGCCGAATTTGATTATCGTTTTTCTTCAGATACTCACAGAAGTGTTTGAGTTTTGTAATAATGTTTAATCCATTAGAAAGTGCACCACCTTTGTGGCATAACGGTCCAGTTCCAGGTGCCTTTTACAATTTTCCAGGCACTCAAAGAATTCCTGCTGCCAACCCGATAACCCATACTCAGTAAATTAAGCCAACATTTTTTATGATTTCCAATAATTTAAATTATTTTTTAGATCTCCTGTAACTACATCAACTTCTATAATAGCTATTACTTATGATAAAGGTGTATTAATTGCTGGAGATTTAGTCGCCTCTTATGGATCTTTAGCCAGGTACAGAAATTGTCCCAGGGTAATTGAAGTTAATCCTAATATAATATTAGGAGCTGGTGGAGATTATGCAGATTTTCAGTACGTGAAAAGCTTTATTGAGCAGAAAATGTATGTAAAAATCATTTAAAACTTTAAGATCCATAGGATAATAAATCTATTTTAGAATTGATGAAGACTGTTTAGATGATGGTTTAAAAATGAAACCAAAATCTCTGTATTGTTGGCTTACAAGAATCATGTATCAACGTAGAAGTAAACTTGACCCCTTCTGGAATAATCTTGTAGTAGGAGGACTGCAGGTAACATATTTTATGTACTATAGAAACTTTTTTTTAACAAAGTGCCACCAAATCATTGTAAAATTGTATGTTCTTTTTTCTACTAGATACCAATTTAGAGTATTTAACATTAAAATTGAAGTAAGACTATTTGTTTTCAGTATTATTCTCATTCCACAATTTTGAAACATCTTTCATTTATTTAAAGTTAATAAATATAAAATAGATGTACAATAATCAAAATGTGACTGAATTATGGTACTGTATACAGTGATTTTAGTCTGGGATATTCTACAAAAGAAATAAAATTGCTGAAAACTGGTTTTTGGGTACATAATATTTATTTTATAGGATGGTGTACCTTTCTTGGGAACCATAGATAAACTTGGCACAGCTTACACAGATAAAGTTATTTGTACTGGGTATGGAGCTCACATTGCTCTCCCTATTCTTCGGGATGCTCTTGATAAGAAAACCAACTTGAATCTTAATGACGCCAAAGCTCTTATAAAGCGGTGCATGGAAGTGCTTTTTTACAGAGATGCAAGAAGTTTTCCAAAATATCAGTTAGGTATTATTGATAAGGATGATGGCGTGAAAATTGAGGGACCACTTACAGTTGAAGAAAATTGGAATATTGCTTACATGACATAATTTGTCTCTTTAAATTTTGATATTTATAATTTTTGTAAGGTAATTCCCTATAATAAAGGTTTTAATATTTACAGCATTTTATTAATCTGTAAAATTTCCATTTCATACATTAATAAATAATAATAATAATTGGTAATACAATCAAAATCTTAAAAAATATGTATAATATTAACTAGTATGTACTTGTTACTGAAATTAAAGACTTTGAAATCGTATTTGGCTCAGATGTTTCCTTTAATAATCATATTAATCAAATTGTTAATAGAACAAAGAAAATGTTAGGTATGCTGATAAGAAAACTCTAGCTATCTTTAGATGCCTGCAGAATGGTTTATGTTGCATATGTTAAATCAATTTTGGAGTACAGTTCTACCATATGGTGTCCATTTTACTGTAAAAAGAATTAAAAATGTCCAAAATAAATATATTATGATATTGATCCTTTAAACTTATTCTAGCAACAGGTACATATAATTATTCCATAATTCTGAACTTAATAAACCTCCCAACTTTTGTAAATTGAAGAATCTTCATGGATCTGTCATTCCTCTATAAGTTCATAGCCAGGATTGTTACATCTGAAGGCATAAATATAATTCTTCCCAGACAGTTTGTGATATTGAAAGATGTAGTTAATATTATGCCTTGTATGTTGCCCTGTAGTATGCTTGAGTAAATCATTTTAACAGTTGCCACAATTACAAAAACGTCACTTTATATATCAAAATTAGATAAAACTTTTTGTTTCTGAACATTTTCCTATAATGCATAAGTTGTTTGCACTAATCACATTTGATTTCTTCAGGGTAGTTTCAAATATTTGACACATACTTGAGTGTAGCATATCACATACTTTGATTTATGTGGTAGCATATACTTTTGACAAGTATGACAGTTCAAATACAGTGTGACACTAGTGCAACAAATAAAATCCATTATTAATGTTTGTTTAAAGCTTTTAATGTTTTTGATATCAGCTGGCAATTTAATAATTAAAATGCTAGATACTCAGGACTATGTTCATAGAGAGCAGATGCATATTTAAGTGTAAGTAACATGCTACCATTACCTGTGGGGTAGTTTCTAAAAAATTGAGTTCCATTCCTTTTTGTGCATCGACTTGTCATAAATATATATTGAGGGTAGAGATGAGAGTATATGGTGATGAATAAAATGATGTATGCATGTATGTCTTGAGTCTAGCAGCAGGGGAATTACCCCCATAAACGTAATGTTATAATATTTATGTATAATAGCAGAGGAGCCCAAGATGCTAAATGGGGATTTACTCAAGCGTCATAGAGACCTATTGGGTTGCAAAGCATAGATGATAAGAAGAAAAAAAATTCATATAATATATACCTTTTCATTGGTGGGGGAAGCGGCTATAGATTTTTAAATATGTAAAAAAATACTGTTGCATGGACATACTCGAGCGCGTCAGATATTGATAGCATCAATATCTTACGTACATTTAATAATGTACGTATGTTAATCTGATCGTTTGCATGATGCGGGTGGTTGTACGTAAGAGTTGAAAATGAAAAAAAAAAAAAAATTAATCAAGCGCGTCAGATTTTCAAAGGGGCCCAGACAGTACACCAAATCCTTTGAATATCTTCTGCACATCCTAATATCCACTGAATGTCCAGTCCATGGTGGATATCTATTTTATATCCATGATATGTAATTTATAGACACGCAAATGTCCATAAATAATAGTAATTATATAGCAAAGTATTAAAAAGTTACGCCATTGTGGCTAATAGTACCGTTCAGATATTTAAAATTAATTTTTTAAGGTGTATTCAATATCCCATGGACATCCACTAAATATATCAAAGTCTAGGCGCGAACGCAAACCATCGTGGATATCCACTAGATGCAATTTTTGATTTTGCTTACTAAGTATAGATGGCGATACTACTTTCGCAGCTACTCATGCTCAACCCGCCGTAATTGAGTTCGATCGAAATTTGTTTCACAATCAGACTCCATTAGAGACTGGAGTCGAGAATTTCCATTTATTGATGAAGAGTCCTAGTAAGGATGACTTTCTCCTTAGTGGGCAAAATCAAAGGCAGAGTGTTGAAAATATTTTGAGTGTTGAAAATATTTTTTATCTCTGCTATTTTCTTTCGACGTTATTCAATAATCATTGGTTACTTATGAATCTCTACTAAAGATAAAATATGTTGTTGAATATCCGAATATCTTCTATATCCTGGGATATAGACGGACATTTGGTTGGATATCCATATTGGATATATTGAATATCTACAAAATATATTCTGTGGATATCTCTGGGATTTCTTGAATTTTCTGGAAGATACCCATTAGATATTTTGCATTAGGATATCTTCTATATTCTGGATATAGACGGACATTTATCCACAGGATATCAGAAATATTCCGTGGATCTAATATGGATATCCACAAAAGATATTCTGTGGATATCTCTGGGATTTGGTGTGTTGTCTGGGTAGGCATCACTCAGCTGCACGCATTAAACTTTATCGACGAAAATTTGTTATTTCGGCTTGCGGAAATCGCCAGGTTATATACTTTTCGTTATCCTTGAATTATTTCCTTCCAAATAAAAAAAAAAATTAGCTACGCTCGAGAATGTCGAGATGACGTTTTTTTCTTACAACTTTGCTGCCCTCACCTTTCTTTACGTCATTCTCAAATTGTCAGATTAGTGGAATATACACTTTTTAGCATGTAATTAACTCACCCTACCTTAATCTGACTAATTTAATTTAAATTAGTCACATTTGAAAAAGAAGTTGTACTTCAAAACATGTCATGTATATTGTTTTTAATTTTTATTTTTTTTAAATAAAAGTTTTGTGAAAATCTACCAAATTTGGTTTTACTCATTCAAGATAAAATGGATTTTCATCAAGTAAATGCCGAAACAATAAATGATTCTTTTTTTGTTAGTAAGGGGATACCTTAGGGGTGGTCCCATATAAGTTTGGTCAAGTTGTTAAATGATTCTTTTTTTGTTAGTAAGGGGATATCTTAGGGGTGGTCCCATATAAGTTTGGTCAAGTTGTGACATCTACACGATTTTTTAAAATTACTTTTAATACTGAATAAACATTATTTTTATATACTCCATATCAGAATTTGTTGGTTTACTAAATCTGTTTCATGCGAAATATTTAATGCTCGCACATAGATTTGTGTCTCTTAAAATAGAAAAGTACGTTTAGAATTAAAGTTTTTGATTGATCACTAAATCGTTTCACTATTTTGTTGAATATTTATAAACAAATTTTAACAATTTGACAAATTCAAAATTATTTTGATAACTACTACCTTACATAATATGATGTAATTAATCTACGACGTGTCAAAATCTAGTAACTTTTTGCTTTATCCATTTTACATTTAAGCAATAAAGTGAATGGACTTTATCATTAATTCTATTTCTTGAGAAAAAATGAAAAGCAACTGTTTGATCAGAATTTAAAATTAAAGAATTGTTATTGCACCAATTTGAAAAATCTGAAGTTAGTAAGTGAAGCTTTTGCTGCAGCGCTAATCTGGAAAAGTTGCATAAGATGCTAAATAAGTTGTATCGTTGACATAAAGTATGGTATAATCTGCAAATACGTGTTAAGGAAGATCATTCACATATAATAAAAATATTAATTGTCCCAAAACTGAACCTTGTGGTACTCCTCGAGTTAAAATTTTTAATTCTGATTTATAATTACTTTTACACATATCTGACAATATTACTTTATATGTCAAGATTAGAAATAAAAATGATAGTGCCCTTGTATTCTGAAGTGCTACACATTGTCAGAAAGTTTTCCTCGCCAAATCTGAACTCACTATCTTCTGGGTGCAAGTGTTATCAGTTCGCAAGACAAGTTTGAACTTGTTCTTTCATTTGTTTATACCAATTTTTGCAGTATATGCAAAGTATATTAACCGTCGAGTAGCGACATAATGCGTCGGTGCCTTTGATCTTGGGTGGTGCAAATTTTCTTTCTCTCTCTTTTGACGTTATTGACGGAACGACACAGTAAAACACTGCTCGAATTATGAACTGATCTTGAATGTGATGTTTACACTGCTCGACGTAATTTGAAGTAAAACTGTTGTAGTTTACATTTATAATAAAGGTTTGGTCATTAGGCAGTTTTATATTTATGAGTATTTAACTTATGTAGTAAATATAAAAATATATATCACTTATAGCACATGCATTTCCTGGCATAATGAAAAACCCAAAAAATCTTAACAAAAACACAATAAAAGAGCACTAATAAATCCACAACAACGAATTCATATATCAGCTGCCGGACTAAAGTGAAAGGGGTTGTTTACGTATTTAGAAGACGTCTCGCCTCTCTATTTCGCGTCGGCGCACTAAAATTCGGTTCCACAGCTGTCGCTACTCAACGGTTAATATACTTTAGTATATGTATATTAAAAAAACAAAATACAAATGAAGGTAGGTTATATTTAGAAATAAAACATGTGTATTTACTATCATTCATTTTATTAAAACCCAAATGTATACAGCTCATTCACTTACTAAAATATGAACGTGAAAAGAACAAGCAAAAATAATTAAGTGATTCACTTAAAACTATTTACAGTCAGATAACAATACCATATGGTCCACTGGTCTCTGACCAGAGCGCAACATATTATTATGGAAAAATAAAACTCTACAAAAGCAGACCTTCATTATTTTAATATAGTGTGTGTTATTACAACGATCAACCCTTGCAGTTGCATCTGACTTTAAAAAAACTTAAAGAATATATACAAACAAATATTTAAAAAAGAAAAAATAATTCTCAAATGTTTACAATCGTGATAATTATAGTCATGTTGTGTATTGAGCACGACCTGGTTGACATTTAATACGAATAACAACACAGTTACAATCTAGCTAACCTAAGTGTTGAAAGCCTAAATAGTACTAAAATCATTCATTCCAATCAATTCAACGCTTTACGCGCGTGTTTCGCCTGAGTGGCTCCTCCAACAGGCAACATAGATCGGCAGCCACCCGATATAATTTTATTATTTAAACTCTGTACGACAAACAGCACTAAGGCAACTGTGTCCTCAAAATGGAATGTTTAAAAACCGCTTTTGCGACTAATCGTCTTCGTCAGACAGTGAATTATTGTTATTGGTTGTGGTTCATACTTTTCATTGTCACATTTTCATCTATTTTTATTTTTTTCATATATATATGATAACCGAAATTAATTAGATTAATACAAAGCTAACACGTACAAGATTGAAACAATCTTAACTAATCGAGTCTACCTTGCACGCCATACTTAACTATCAAAACTGCACAAGCAGTAATTTACTAGAATTAGCAACAGTATTTGTACAATAATCGATAGGAAAAGACATCGGATCTATTACTCGATGATAATTGCTCTTACCATGTTGATACAACTGTCTAAAAATGAAAACGAGGTCTTTCCTATCGAAACTGTGGCCTAAACTATCCACAGCATCCACTGAGTGGCAGTACTCTGATATTAATACTTAATAATAGGTTTCTTGTTCTAACCAGCCGCCGGGGCAACGTCGTAAATAAAACCGTCGCACTTCGTCATATATGAAGATCGACAACATAAATGGAATGGCTGGCAACCACCAAACGAACCTAAAAACAAAGACAATAATATTATGTACATTTTTCATTAGTTCTTAAATTTAAAATAAAATGGGGTCATTTTGTGGTAGACTATCCGAAAGATAAAAAAAAATGATATTGAATGTAACTTACTTAAGAGGGAACATTCTCAGCCCCTTGTCCATACCAGGGGTGTAAGATAGGAATGCAGCAAGGGCGGTCTCAAATATAAGCCCAAAGTTAAGAGCCCAATTCCTCATACCTTGATGAACGATTGAATTACGACGAGTCTTGCAAATAATCAAATCGGCCCATTGTACGACTACGATGGATACGAAGAAAGCAGTGTGGCATGTGTACTCCAATGTCTTTCGGTCTCTGTAAGTCTACAAAAAGAATATATAATTATTAGGTATGTCCCCTATTTTTGTTTTTTTTTTAAGCTATTGCATAGCTTTTATCGCGGGCTTTGAGCGTGGCGACCGAATCAAGAAATTCCGTAATTCCGTAACGAAAATAAATCTAACACCCCCACTCCGACCGGCACAGCGGTGCGGTGTTTTGAAAGCCGTGGAATGTTTTATCCGACTCTATTCGTATTAGTATGAAGCGGAGTTAAATATACGTCTGAGGCCTGGAACGTTTATGCAATACAAGAACTAGAAGAGCTTTCTCCGACTTTTAATAAATTGGTATCACAAATGTTCCCGGCTGGCGTAAATATTAGATATTAATTTTTTTTGCAAAATTTATAATAGTATATTATGCAACGATCATGTAATGATGGTTATTAATACATGAGCATTAACCGGGATATGCGAGTGTTTTAATAACCATTACATAAAAGTTGCATACGCTATTTTTTCTACACCCGATAAATAATCAAGACCTATAAATTATATTTATATTGGTATTGAACACAATAACAGTAATTACTCGTATTTATATAAAAAAATTCTACAAAATTGTAATTAATGGTATTACTTCGGGTATTGGTATTTCCCAAGATTTTTGCGGCAAAATGTTTTGTACTGTATTTTCTGCTTTCTCCGATATGTGTGGAGCAGTCTTCTATATCGCTGATATCAGACATTTTAATATTATAATTATCGAAGTTTAGCTATCTACGAAAATTTAATACGTTTTGACAACTAAAACAATTACATAGGAACCTAGGACAAACGAAAATACCATGCTTGATTAAAAAATTGTAGGTTTCTATTGATTAAAAAATAATGGATATCATTATGAAACGGATTATGGGCATATTAGTGCATTATTCTAATACGGGTGTAGAAAAAATATTAATTTTTATTTTATCAGTGTTAACTATTTCATTATTAAGCTATTGCACAGATTTTATCGCGTGCTTTGAGCGCGGCGAGCGAATCAAGAAATTCCGTAACGAAAATAAACCTAACCCCTCGAAAAATCGAAGAAAATAAAAAAATCGAAAAATGAAAAAATTCGAAAAAATCGTAAAATCGAAAAAGAAATTCCGAAATGAAAATAAACCTAACACCCCCCACTCCGACCGGCACAGCGCTGCGGCGTTGAAAGCCGTGCATCGTCTAACGTCGTTTCAGTTCGGCAGACTTCGACACGGTATTTGTGTGCGTGCGACTAGACGTAAGCGTATAGACTAGCTGCTAACTGCTCATAACTGATTCTATCTCTTTTAGACACAATTTCGGAAAAATTTAATATGAAAATGAATAATGATCTACAAGAATCCACAACAAAATATGGGACCACCATTGACGCGGTATTTTCTAGATATTTAGAAGATATCAAGTTGCAAACTTATTTTCCTTATTTCAGTTACCATAAACCTATAGTTTCAATGATAAAAATTCCTGAATAACCTACATGTATTGTAAGATAATAAAAATATTTTAAACAATATTAACTTCTCATTTATTCAATAAAAGAAAAAAAATTGTTTTCTTATCGGTCATCACGTTCAAAAAGTGTAACTTGAATTAATATAAAAGAAAAAACTTGAATTAATATCAAAGAAAAAAAATACTGCATAAATAAAATAAATAATTATAATTGCATAAGTTGATATAAAATGCTATGCAATAGCTTTACCGCGGCAGTCCCCGAGTGCCACACGTTATTTTTTTTAAATAGTGTTTTGAATAATATGGTATCCCAGAATATGTTGACAATTTCTCGATTCAGATAGAAATCAAAAAATAAATTGTTTTTTCTTAACGGCATCCTACGCCCCTGGAAACAACTTTTTAATGTCACGAAATAATGATTAATGCTTGTTATAGTGGATTATTAGACGCATAAGATTAAAATGAGCTCAAGTTGAACTTATTTAATAATTACACCAATGTGAGGGTGAGGCGAAATCGTTTTTTTTTTTTAATAAAGGGTGTCTCAGAAATATTTTCGTTTATCAATACATCCACTATAGCGCAATAAGCACATTCCTGAGAAAGGAGGCAATTGGAAAATGGTGATATACAGTTTTAAGTTTTAGTTGCAATGAAGCGATTTACGGGTTAATAACGGACTTTTTGTTTTCGTGAGTTTTATAAAAAAAAAAGATTCTTATGTTCTTGTGCGTCGTTTGTACAGTAATCATTATAACATAGCAAGAATGAATGACGTTCCAACTGCGAATTTAATTAAATATTGGTTAAGAAAGTTTGAGAGTACTGGAAATTAAATTTGCACTTGAGATATCTTTCATTCTTGCTATGTTATAATGATTTCTGTACAAATGACGTACAAGAATATAGGAATCATTGTTTTTATAAAATACACGAATACAAAAAGCACGTTCCAGTCCCGTAAATTGCTCCATTGCAAGTAAAACTTAACACTATCGACCACCATTTGCCTTCTTTCTCGGGAATGTGCCTATTGCGTCAGCGAACGGATTAATAAACGAAAATATTTCTGAGACACCCTTTACTTTTATTTAGAAAGAAACAGTTTTTAACAACACTTGTAACCATGCTTTTTACTTGTACGCCATCTTGGGCATCTTGTTGTCGTACTTAATCATGTTACCAACTTACATATAGGTAAACTTAAAACTAACTAGATTTAACATTGTTACTAACAACCAAATTAAACAAAAAACTGTTTTGTCGATATCAAAGGCTGAAAATTGGTTTTAAAAAACATTTTTTTCTAATCCGAATCTGATTAATGAACCATCATTTAAAAAAATCACAGTGTCTAGGTACACGCTAACTTGTACCCAATTCAAAAAGTTATATACACGCGAAACGTCTTGACAGAGTAGGTGAGCTGTGTCCATGCCGGTCGGCATAGCCAGGTATGGATTGAAATTTCCTACGAAAATTCGTTGCTTCCTTTTCTTGTTGTCACGGCATTATTATTATTATTTGTTGATGTATGTGAAATTTGCTTCTAAGGTTTGTAAAATACTTCTGCTAGCTGCTAGTCACGGCGTAAATGAAAACAAACAACATGCATTCACACAAACACCTCCCACCACAGCAATATGACGTTTCGCGTGTATATAATTTTTTGATTTGTGTACACTTTAGCGTGTACCTAGCAACAGCGTAAAAAATATATTAAGAGGAATACAGGTTTGGGCGCACCAGGTGTCCGAAGGGCGTTCGCCGATGTCACATTTGAATTCAGCGCCCCAAAAAACACCCATTACGATTTTCGGTTTATCTTTTTCAATTTTGTGAGGAAAACTCACGGAGATGAGATCCGCGTCCAGTTTCCGGTGCACCAGATGCTCTGGGGGTCGTTTTCGACGTGAAATTTGGATTCAGCGCCCCAAAAAACGCCCCCACAATGATTTTCAGGATGTTTTTGGTGATCTTGTCAGGAAAATTTTCGGGAATGACGTCCACGTCCAGGTTCCGGCACACCAGGTGTTCGGGAGAGTGTTCGCCGATGCCATATTTGAATTCAGCAACCCAAAAAACCCCCGGGTGCCGAGTTTCTCTCCTTCCCACGGAGATGACGTTCATCGGCGTTCCTGAGTTCGAGGTCGGCTGTGGGTCAATTTGAACATCATAAGCATGATCAGGGACCTCGAAACCCCGATTTGGGCCAGTTCTGACCTTTATTTACAACGTTCTTTAATCTTCCCAAAGTCATCTCAAAAAATGCATTTTTTGAATACGTTTTTGGCTGCAGCAATGCAATTTTCGGTTTGTATAAGATAAAAAATAGACATTTTTTAGATCCGTTTGGGTCTAAAAATTCCGAACTTTTTTTGCTTCAATGCCTCGACTATATACCAAGTACGTACTTTAAAAATGATAAAAAAAAAATTCCAAAGACGTCTGTTATGGGCCCGTATCTTTGTAGGAAAAACATATATAGGAACTTGTTATAATATTTTTATGCGTTCTATGTAAATTCGGAAAATTGCTTACATATTCTGAAACACATTGTATATATTCTTTTTTATATAAATAATGTTAAACCAATAAATATAATTAACAAAATTGGATTAAACATAAAAATCATCTGTTTTAATGTGCTGTTATTACTGATAATAAATAATTTTCTTACCCATTCTTGTCCATAAGAGTCGGTAAGATCATTGACAGCTTTCGAATCCCATTGTTTTCTTATTCCAAACAGTTTCATCGGCAGGAATCCATTTTCAGCCATGATGACGAAGTAAACGAAGAATCCAGCAGCGGCTTGAATCATACCAATTTGACCGTACGCCATTGATATTAGTCTAAACACAATTTTAAATTAGTTCGGTATTCAGCGAGCGATACAGATTGTTTACCAATTTTGAAGAATTCAAAAAATGACTGAAAACAAATTTGATAACAGAATATCTTAAAAATTGGTTCAATAAGGATGGTTCTAAATGGATTAATTTTTTTTGTAGTTAGAACCATCCGTTTTATACATATATACATATTATCCACAAACATGCTGTTAAAATAGTTAAATTTGAATTATTTAAACTACACATGCAATAAATTGTACTTTTTTTTTATCACAGAATCGTATATTTCAAAGTGTCAAGCTAGAAATACATAGATACCTAAAAGCGATAACTTCTGCTGAGTAGGGAGAGGATAATATTAGTATGATTCTTTGTAAATTTTATACAAAGGACTAAAATATACTTTACTTACGTGTTGACGATTTTAGACTTGTTTTTAAATTGGTTTTGATTAGATAGGAATTAGAATGCCCACCCAAAATAAAAGATTTCTATATTTTGGGCGGAAAAGCTATTTAATAAAAAGAATGAAATTAAAAAAAAAGTTTAGTTTAATTTCAACTAGTTAGAATTCTAGTTTAAGCATTTAAAAGCATATATTTTTACCTTTCTTAAGATTTTTTCTTTTTAAATATTATTTCTAATTACGGAAAGCAGAAATTATTGATAATAAATCAAAAATATTCATTTAGAAAAGTAAAGCCTCTTAAGTAAAGAAATAATATTGTAAGAACGGTAAAAAAAAATTTTTTTTCTATTCTAATGGCAAACTATTGATATCAAAGAAGCATACAGTGGAAGAGGATGAATTGTTCAGGGTGACATGCCTAATTGTAAAACCTCTACACAGTATTTCTAAAACTAAGAATTATAATAAACTAACTCTACAGGGTATATCTGAAAGGTCTGTACAGAACGCTGAGCTAAAATACGAGGATCTAGTCCAATTTACTTTAGTCAAAAAGTTTCCCTTAGATCTTCTGATTATGCCCAAAATTTAATCAGTTCACCGCAAGATGGATTAAAGCTTAAATTTAAAATTTGGTGTTTTTTCCTTTATTCGTTTTTAAGTAATCTTCAAAATTCGAAATCTGCATTTTTCTCAAATAACTAAAATACAGTCCATTTTAGAGAAATTATGTATAGGACAAAAATTATAGAAAATGAGATCAAAAACAACTTTTATTTGAAAAATGTTCTACTCCAAGCATAAATAACCGATATATTCTATAGAGTAGAAAAACGATTCCTTATAAAGTATCCCCCAGATGTTCTGACTATGCTTAAAATATAATCAGCTCATCACAAGTTGGATTAAAATTTGATAATATTCTCCGTATCCGTTCATGAGTTATCGAGTATACACACACACACACACACACACACACACACACACACACACACACACACACACACACACACACACATAGACATCATCGCAAAAAATAGTCAAAACGGATTTAGGGGACTCCAAAACGTAAAAATCCGTCAAAATTGTCCTATTATTAAGATACATATTTAAAAAAATTATAATTTGGAAACTTTTTGACTAAAGCAAATTGGATTAGATTCTCATACTTTCGCCTAATAAATTTGTGCTAGCATCTGTATAGACCTTTTAGGGACACCCTGTATATTGAAGGCAGACATGTTTGAACAAGAAAAACAAAAACAAAAATGATGCACCAGAAACATCAATGCGACTTTACCACTTCAACCGCCGCATTAATGTAACTAGTGCCAAACTAGTAAAAAATAAAAAGCGCTGAACACTTCAATGTGATTATTATCATTTCAGATATTAATCGTATTGGTGTAATCAGCACTTTAACTAGTAAAAAACGTTTTTCTAAACGCTCTACTGCTCTAGACTCAACACAAACTATACCTCGGCAAAAATGTGTAGGTCACTCAGACTAAATAAACTACGACAAAACTATTAGAAGGCAAAGTTACTTTTTAAAAGTACAAATAGATACTTGGCTGATAGAGAGAAGTTGATAATTGACAGTCCGTGAGGTGAGCGTAGTTTTTATAAACGAGGGCCATACTGACAGTTTTTAGATACCGACTTGAAAGCAGTGATAAGTTCTATTATGTCGAGCCACACTTATTGTATTCGGAAGGTAGTGGGTTCGATCCCCACTACCGCCTGACTTGCTATGAGTTTTTTCAGACATTTTATCATAGCAATAGGTAAATGCTGAGTAACATCCTTTCAGATACCTACCACTACATCCCTTTAGACCCCCTATTCCCTCCAGTGTGCATAAAATGAATTGGAAAGTCTATAACAGCCCGCTCCTAATACAATTACTTTAACCTTGCCTTTAGATGTTGGTAAGCAAGTAAGACAATACGTTGTGTTTTGTAATAACTATGTAATGCACTATCAAGATAATTTAAAGTTATTATACAGGGTGTAACTAAATAAGTCTAAAACATTTAAGGGGGTGATTCCTCATCGAAAAAAAAGATAGGATCTTTCATATAAAGAAACTTCATTGGAGCATCCCTTGTTAAGATACAGCCCCTTAAAGGGGGTACATAAAATTTGTTTAACAATTTTTTTCACAAGCACTAAACAAGTTTTTCTACTACCAAAAAGACACTTAGTCAGTAATTTATTTGGCTTACCCCATGGTTGTAAGGGGTGGAAAACGCAACCCCTAAAATTTCGTTCCAACGTAACTTTCTGTCTTATTATTTGTTTACCATTTAAAAATTTATTTCCGATAGCTAAACAAAAAATGTCTCTTGGTTTTTTTGCCCAAAATAAACCAGTTCGCAACAAAAAATTATTTTACGAACAAGATAGATATCGCCATAAAACGAAAATACTAATTTATGTAGTAGGCCGCCGCTATTAGCGATACTGACAATTACATTGAAATCAAGCTGTCAGTTTGTAAATTTTTGAAATTGAAGTAATTCTAATTGTGTATTGTTGTTCTGTTCGTAATTTGTTACTTTAATAATTCACTTGTTATTAAAATGGCATACACAAATGAGGAAATGGCTGATATGCATTACGTTTACGGTCTGCCGCAGGGGAATGGGTTAGAAGCTTCTAGAAGATATGCTGAAATGTATCCTCAACGGCAGCATCCTTCACATAGAATATTTGCCCGACTTCATCAACGATTACGAGAATATGGTTCATTCAACACGACTGTGGTCGCCATCGAGAAGTAAGAACACCACAGCTTGAGGAAGCACTACTTAATTTTATTGAAGAACAACCTACTACCAGTACTAGAAAGATTGCTTTCCAGCTAAATGTTGATCATATGACGGTATTTCGAATTTTAAAGGAACATCTCTTATACCCTTACCATCTGCAACAAGTACAGGCACTGTTACCGCGAGACTTTCCGAACCGTCTTGAATTTTGCAATTGGATGCTGGAAATTATTAGAAGAAATCGTGACTTTCTGAAGACGATCGAATTCACAGACGAATGTAGTTTTTCTCGGGACAATTACCACATATGGGCTGATGAAAACCCTCACGCTATTCTCGAAACTCATCATCAAGAACACTTGTCTCTTAACGTGTGGGCCGGAGTTATTGGTGATTATTTAATTGGGCCTCATTTTCTACCTCCTCGATTAAATGGTGAGGCATACGTTCAATTTTTAAGAGAAGTGCATCCCGTACTGCTGGAGGAAGTTCCTTTGGGCGTAAGAAGGGATATGTTTTTTATGCATGATGGGGTTCCCGCCCATTTTAGTCAAGTAGCACGTCAGCATTTAACTGAAACATATGCAAATCAGTGGATAGGTTGAGGAGGACCACAGAATTGGCCCGCTCGATCCCTGGATCTCAATCCTCTCGATTTCTCTACTTGGGGCCATTTGCAGCATTTGGTTTATCGTACTCCTGTTCGCGACGTAGAGGACTTAAGAAACCGCATCATCGATGCGTGCAGGGTAATTAGAGAGACTCCAGGATTATTTGAGCGAATACGTGGCTCAATGCGCCGACGTCTAGACGCATGCGTAATGTCTGAAGGTAGACATATTGAACATTTACTATGATTTCTACATGTTGTATGTTTTGTTATTAATAAATTAGTTTTGATAATTATTCGCCTTTTTAATTATTTAATGCAGGTAGTAACTACAAAATAATAAATTCAGTTCGCATTTATGACGATGTATCTCTGTAGTTGTTCTTAAATAATTTTTTGCTGCGAACTGGTTTATTTTGGGCAAAAAATTCAAGAGAAATTTTTTGTTTATAATGAAACAGGCTATCGGAAATAACATTTTAAATGGTAAACAAATAATAAGACAAAAAGTTACGTTGGAACGAAATTTTAGGGGTTACGTTTTCCACTCCTTACAACCATGGGGTAAACCAAATAAATTACTGGCTAAGTGTTTTTTTGGTAGTAGAAAATGACAGGTTAATTTCAATATTGTTGTTTGGTGCTTGTGAAAAAAATTGTTAATCAAATTTTATGTACCCCCTTTAAGGGGCTGTATCTTAACAAGGGATGCTCCAATGAAGTTTCTTTATATGAAAGATCTTATCTTTTTTTCGATGAGGAATCACCCCCTTAAATGTTTAACATTTATTTAGTTACACCCTGTATATCATGATCTTTAAGTGCTACATTATTTAATTAGTTTGGACTGTAAAAGGGACACAACATAAAAGTCCCACACAAGATGCTCGCACACTGCTGTTACATCTAAAAATATGACTGTTAAAAAATGATTATGATACACAGTTATATAATAACGGTTCAAGAAAATGAAATGCGATATTTTTAATATTATCACTGGTAACAAATCACAGATATTATGATCTAAAAACGAAGTGGAAAACTCAGTGTGCTTCCAAAATTATTTCCATCCACAAAAGTGAAAAGTGTTGATAACAAAATTATATAATGCATGAAAATCAAAATAGAATCAATTGTAATGGTATGTAGCTGTTTGTACTCCTGAATATTTGCTGATTTGAAACAAAATACCAAAATACTGTATTAC